GGCTTCCCCATCCATGTCTGCTGCCTGCCCTCTTCAGGCGGGACGCTACCTTTTCGTTCCTCGTGTCCGTGTCCAGCTCTGCTATCTTAGCCCACTTCTGCCAGAAGTTGGGGTCGTCCAAGGAAATGTCGGTTCTGTTCCCGGAAGCGACAAAACTGGCCTGGAGGTGAGGAAAGAGCCAGTCACTCATCTGCGCTCCACCCTGAGTCCGTGCTCCCAGCTTCCCATTGCCCGGGGCCAGGGTCGCCCCAGCTCCCTGGAAGTCCAGTCCAGGCGAGGGATGGGGGGACAGCAGCGCCCACCTCGGTTGGGGTCGTCCAAGGAAATGTCGGTTCTGTTCCCGGAAGCGACAAAACTGGCCTGGAGGTGAGGAAAGAGCCAGTCACTCATCTGCGCTCCACCCTGAGTCCGTGCTCCCAGCTTCCCATTGCCCGGGGCCAGGGTCGCCCCAGCTCCCTGGAAGTCCAGTCCAGGCGAGGGATGGGGGGACAGCAGCGCCCACCTCGCCGCCTAGCATGGCTCCCAGGGCCCTTCCCCACGGCAGCCCTGCGGCAAGCGGCCCCCGCCGGGCTCCCACAGCCCTGGCAGTCAGGGCACGGCGCTGGGAGCGGGCAGCAGAGCCAGCCACAGCCCCTGCCTCAGGGCGACACCCACAGAGCCGTGTCCTGTGCAGCAGGCAGCAGAATTGGGTGGGGGCCAAGGACGCGCACAGAGCTGGGGTGCCCCGAGCTGCGGCAGGAGCCAGCAGGGAGCTATGGAAAGAGCTGGCAGGACCCGGAAGAAATGTGAAGGGACGTTCCCCCTGCACAGGGAGGGGAGCACTGCAAGAGGAATGGCCATGCAGCTCCACGCTGCTTGCAGCCCTGGCTATCAAGCGTGAGTGCAGGCTGCTCCCCCCACATGGCAGCCAGGGGCACAGGGGGAGGACAAGCCCCGCGGGCGCTGGGCACCGGGGGAGGACAAGCCCCGCGGGCGCTGGGCACAGGGGGAGGACAAGCCCCGCGGGCGCTGGGCACAGGGGGAGGACAAGCCCCGCGGGCGCTGGGCACCGGGGGAGGACAAGCCCCGCGGGCGCTGGGCACAGGGGGGGGGACAAGGCCCCCGGGCGCTGGGCACAGGGGGTCCATGGGGCGGGCCCGGCAC